AATGAATGAAGAATTGTTTGTGTCCTGTATTGACTCAGCAAGCTCAATTTTATGAGATCTTTATTCCAAATCTTTTAAGAGAGTTGAAATAAGACAGAGAAACTTAAATTTACTGTAGTTTAATAATTAAAGAATAAGGATCCACGTGTTTATATAGAGAATTAATGAAAAGGGAGGAAATGGCAAATTTGCTTCTTTGTCAACACTTAATATTTGTATTTGTTGTGGTAATTTTAGTAATATGATCCTAGTGATATGCTGTCATTCTCAGATGAAACTGTCATCTATGGGTCCGCTGGGACAAACAGTATTTGACCACGTTAAATATAAGGAAGAGGAAGAAACATGTGCTACAGGAGATAACTGCCATGATGACATTAGTCAGGTTCTCTTGGTCAAAGTGACTACGGAATAAGTTTTGCTTTCCCTCCAACAGTTGCACCATAAATTTATTATTCTAACATCCCATATCACTTCATGTAATAAGTGCTAGAAAATTTCTTCTGGGCATATTTTGTTAACCGTTGTTTGTCTGGTTGGTTGTTTCTCTTATACTAACCATTTCCAAAGTTGTCTGATAATCAAAATAAATGAGACAAACAAAATAAAATACATTCTAGTTCTATTGTATTTTTCAAGTGTATATATGTATGTACTTATGTATGTATGTATATATTTATTTGAGACACGGAGGGAGAGCATGAGCAGGGGAGGGGCAGAGAGAGAATGGGAGACAAGGAGAATCCCATATAGGGTCTGCACTGTCAATGCAAGCATTCAACAGGGGGCTTGAATTCACGAACCATGAGATCATGACCTGAGCTGAAGATGCTTGACGACCTAAGCCAGCCACATGCCCCTTCTAATGTATTTTTATGAAACTCTCCAGATGCCTCTGTTTTACACCTAGATTTGGAAGCACTGATCTTTTTGTGTTAGATGTGGGTTTTTCTAACCCCATACCTTGTTCTTGTGTGTATCCAGTCCTAGTTTCTGGTGCAGATACAGGTTCACTCTAATTTGTATATAATTTGAGTTTATTTAATAGAAATTGAAAGGAGAGGGCAAACAATTCCTCTGGCTTATATTGTTTATACTGAAGGAGAAGCTATCAATGTTAATAATTTACCTTTGGAATTTCTTTCTCAATGAACATAGGTAACCTTGGTTATTTAAGATTATCCCTAGTTTTATTTTTTATTATGTCAATAATCTCATATCATTCATTATAATATTAAAAATTTTAGTGATAGTGTAGAATGATAATTTTTAAGTAATAGTTGTTCTAAATATATTTTACTGTAGCAGATTACTTACGTTAAAGTGGGCTGGTAAACTTTTATTTTTAGAAAATGATTAAAATCAGACATGAGAGCAAAATATTTAAAATTACTTTTATCTTGTTTTATAATGATCATGTGATTTTTTGCCAATTTGATGTGACATTAAAGAATTTTTATCACGAAACTCTTGTTTCATGGAATAAATCTAATGTTTAGGGGTATTTTTAGATTTTAAATTTAAAATTTAGTTAAAAATGCTAGATTCATTAAATATGTTTTTTCAACTTTTGTAATTTAATATAGCTATATTACCTTTTGAACAGAGAATAATTTGAATGATTGTTGCTAGAGTTGACTTATATGTAATTTCATGAAATACTCGATAAAATTTAATCATATCTTATTGATGCTTAAAATGAGATATAATCTTATTGTTTTTAAAAAGTGTGTGGGCTCTCTTTGTATTTCAATTTCTTTCTTAATTAGATTTTTTAAAAAAAATTAGTATCTCCTTAATATCTATATCACTTTTCAAAGACTGGGAGAAATATATGCATGCAAAAATCTACAATACCAATAAATTTCGGATTTTTAAAATTTTTTACATGTTTTGGGTTTTTTGGATATAAAGTTTTGTGATATTTATGTTTTCTTCATCGGTTGCAATCTCACTTATATAATATTTACTGCCTCAGTCTCTATTATGTGTTCAATAAAATTTTCACTTTTTTCTCTGTTAGACTATTTATAAATATTTATGGAATGGTTATTTATTGAGTACTATGTTCTGGGAACATATAAAAAGTGACCTACGGGCACCTGGGTGGCTCAGTCTGTTGAGCATCTGACTTTGGCTCAGGTCATGATCTCACAGTATGTGAGTTCAAACCCTACATAGGGTTCCCAGCTGTCAGTGCAGAAGCTGCTTTCGATCCTCTATACCCCTCTCTCTCTGCCCCTCCCCTCTCCCATTCTCCCTCAATAATAAATAAACATTTATAAAAGTGACCTAGACAGAGAATAGCTAGTAGAAAGGCTTGGTCTGTTCTGGGAGCTGTCAGATCGGAATGACTAGTGCTTAGCAAGTTGGAGGGAAGCTTTAAGATATGCAATCAGATGGTAACAAAGGCCAAGTCTGGGAGGGCTCTGAAGGCTTAAGGAAATTTGGGTTTCATCCAAACAGCTGTGGGAACCCAATAAGCAGGAACTTATTGAAGTATTTTTTATATGTTTAAAATATCTCTATTTAGTATAATTATTAATTGTTGAGTAATTACAGGATATTAAAAAATAAAAAACAAGAACAATTATGACTTAAACAGGGTAGTCCAGGTGAGAGATAATGGTGGCTTGCACCAGGGAGATTACAAAGTAGAATAGGTAGATAAATAAATGAATATGAGTTATGTTTTGAAGAAAAACCCCAAAGTTTTTTAATTAGTTAGATATGATAGATGGGGATAAGACAATCTTGGGTATTTATTTGGACTTCTATGTAGGTAGCACAGCCATTTCAGAACTTAGGCAACCCAGGAATAAGAATGGGTTTATTTGCTAAATGAAATAAGTCAGTCAGAGAAAGCCAGTCATGTGATTCACTCATCTGTGGAATTTAAGAAAACACAAAAGATGAACATAGAGGAAGGGAAGGAAAAATAAGGTAAAAACAGAGAGTAAGCAAACTGTAATACAGAGAACAAAATGAGGTTGCTGGAGGGGAGGTAGGTGGGGGGATGGGCTAAATGGGTGATGGGCATTAAGGAGGGCACCTGTTGGGATGAGCACTGGGTGTTATATGTGAGCAATGAATCACTGGGTTCTGTTCCTGAAACCAATACTACACTGTATGTTAACTAACATGAATTTAAATTAAAACTAGAAAAAGAGAAATACGAAAAGATTGGGTTTATTTGGAGTGCAGAGGGGACCAATCTTGATCTCTGAGTAAACTATATTAACTGGGAATGTCAAATAAACATTTGGATAAGTGATATGGAAAACAGGAGGAAGATCTTAATTTGTGAGACAGTAACATCTGAGCAATGTGTAAAATTGTGAACTCTCATAGCTGTAAGACAAGAGTAGAAAGCTTAAAACAAAGACAAGTGTTATAAGTAATACTAACACGAATACTAGCATACAGAAACATTTGCTAAATACTTATTATTGCAGAGGTCCAGCCTCTGCAAGCCAGAGTTGGCCCGGAGAGTGATGGTTGGCATTGACGAAGAAGACACGGAGCCAGCCTCTTCAGGTGCACTGCTCAAATTTATTTTTCAGCTTAGGGTTTTTATATAGCAGATTCAAACAATCATGCTTAAACGATTTACATTTTTTGAGTACAGTCATAGGACTTAACATGTCTAAGTTTTCTTGGCAACAGTGATTTCACGGTATGTAATTTCCACTTCAACCAATAAAATGTAACCAGGTAGTCATAACAAAGTTTTACATATTCTTTACTACGTATGACAGGGTATCTAAGGATAAGTGAAGCATATTGTCAGAATACATGAGATCACAGTGCCCTTTAATTGTTTAAATTCAGTGGGCATGCAAACACAAGATATACTTGTACCCACGATTGTAGGTAACAGACTCTCACAACCCCTTACTAAGAAAGAACAATGTCAACATTTATCATAGATGACGTATGGAAATGTTTTACGTGGATCAACTAGAATTTGGTCTCTGCATTTACCAATCTCATTCTTTGGTCAGAACAATCCATAAGTTGCCTTACAGGCTTGAGGTCAGCAGGCAAATATTTGTCTAACCCTTTTTTGAGAAGGCCCTCCAAAACTAGTAAGTCCTGTTTTTGTCTATGCTTATGGCGTAATATGTATTCTTACTGGCAATTAGACCCATACATGGAAAATGAATTCTAGGTCTCTTATAGACACCATGTGTATGGGACTGTCTCCAATTTTACTAATTGCTACAATAATCATTAGACAACATCTGATTAAGGGGGCAGACATGATATTTAGGTACATTTCATTTTGGAGGAAGGGGGGGACTTTGGGCGATTCTGGTTTCATATTAACCCTAGAATAGACTAACAGCAGAAGTGAGAGTAAAAGGTACAGACTAAGTAGAGAAGAAGAATTCTTCAGGGGGTTCTTCTGACTGCCTTGCAATCTTTTCCCACAGGTTTTTCCCTGGGCCTTGCCATCAGGGATGACCTATGCAGTTTCGGTCTCCGGCAAATTATAGGTCAGGAAATGTAACTATTTACATGATTCACATCTCATTTAAACTTTGCAAAGGCCAAACGAGGTCCATACTATTATTACACCTAGTTTACAAATGAGAAAATTCAGTTCATAAAAAAAGTTAAGTAACCTGACAAGGAGCACACTAAGCAGTTGTACCGGAGCCAGCATTTGAAACCTGAAGCCATGATCCGAGGGTCAACACTCTTTTCCACTGTAATAACTATCCCTGTACATCTATGCACACTCTTTTATATGCTATTCTAAGAAAAAAGAAAGAGAGAAAGAACTTTTTGAGGGGCAGAGGATTACAGTACAATGATCAGATAATTTAGACATTTTCTTTACTTTTTTTAAAAATTTTTAATTTTTTTTTAAATTTCTGAGAGAGAGAGAGACAGTGTGAGCAGGGAAGGGTCAGAGAGAGAGGGAGACACAGAATCTGAAGCAGGCTCCAGGCTCTGAGCTAGTCATCAGCACAGAGCCCAACCTGGGGCTCAAACTCTCCAACTGCAAGATCATGACCTGAGCCGAAGTCGGACGCCTGAGCCACCCAGGCACCCCGATTTAGGCATTTTCTTTACCATCTAGGAGCTGAGAGTCTAAAGAGAAAGAAAGACAAATAAATTCATAATCACAGTAAAGAACCCAGACTGTGAGGGAAATATGCAGAGCTATATAATAAGTCATAATAGGAACTTCTTTTTTTTCTTAATTTGTTTATTTATTTTGAGAGAGAAAGAATACAAGTGGGGAAGGGACAGAGTGAGAGGGAGCAAGAGAGAGAGACAGAGAGAAAGAGCGAGAATCCCAAGCAGGCTTTGCACCACCAGTGCAGAGCCCAACATGGGGCTGGAACTCATGAACGATGAGATCATGACCTGAGTGTAAGTTGTGCACTTACCTGACAAAGTCACCCAGACATCCTCTTACAATAGGAACTTCTAAACCCTGTGGGAGAGAAATGCTGAACTGAATACCTGAGCTAAGTACTGCTGGATACATGAATAATAAATTATGACATAAAGGTAGCAAACAAGACAAACAAAGTAACAAACAGTGATTCTGACCACCTTTGTATATAGATGATTATTTTTCTAGTATCAGTGACAATGACAACATAATATACTCATTTATAGTACTTTTTTTCTCTAAGAAGTATCTAGGAAATGCTTCATTATAACATTTTATTAAACTAAAAAAAATTTTGGAGCTATATTTGAATATGTAAAAAAGGTACAGTCTCAATGGAATGTTAACATTAGACTTAAATCATTTGTGTAACCATCAGTATAAGATAGTAGGTACCATCATATTATGTAGACTATGACTAATTTTCTGTCCTTATGTTAAAAGAAATTCCACATTATTTATTTATTATAATGTTTTGGTCAAACCAAAATATTTAAATGTTTTATCAAGTGAGAAGCAGTATATCCTGAAATATTGACTATGAACACTTCTTTGCTTTCCATTATTTATAATTAAATGGCATTTAGTGAATATGTCAAATAATGTGCAATGTAATTGAAAAGGACAATAAAAAGTTTGCCTGCATTTTCATTGCATGCATCTTACGCATGTTACTCTGTAGATGTTTGCAGCACTATTGCATCTTTTACTCTCTGTGATATACAATCCATTACTTGTGCTTTGAGAAATCTCAGCATTGTAAGAAGTGCTGTAGATTACAGAATATGTCAGCTATTTAATCAATTCTTTAATCAAGAAAAGGTCAGAATATTCCTGCATATTTTACATTTTAATTTAGGAGTAAACATACAAACTGTGCAATGTCTTTAAAAATATATCCCATGTCAAAAAAATATATATATATATATATATAATATGCAGCATCTGAGTGGCTCAGTTGGTTAAACAGCTGATCTTGGCCCAGGTCATGATCTCGCGCTTGGTGAATTCAGGCTTAAGGTCCTGTTTTGACACCTCAAAGGCTAGAGCCTGCTTTGGATTCTGTGTCTCTCTCTCTCTGTCTCTCCCCCCCCATGCTCTATCTTTGTCTCCCAAAAACTGAATAAATGCTAAAAAATTTTTTTAATATCCCAGAAAATTCAGGAAATGTTTTTACATATATTTGTTTCTTGTGGTTTTTCAATAAGTGATAATTTAAAAAAAAAAATTCTCATGGTCTACAGAGTAAGAAAGTCATGGTACAGAATGTAAATTATAAGCTAATTGTAATAGTAGATCTTTACATTGTTTTAAGCAAATGGATGAGAACAGCTCACAATTTTGTTTTTCAGACTTGTGTCTATGATATACTTATGTAATTTAGACATTTTTTTCCTAAACAATGTAGGTTCAAAAAATTAAATACCTCTCCTAAGCTTTGGCCAGAATTGGCCAAGATATAGAAGATACATTTCAATTCTAACATCCTCAATTTACTATTGAACAAATAGACGTAGACACTTAATTTATCTCTGTACACAAGGAGAAGTAAGTTGCAGAGTGAAGAATGAAGACAAAGACTTGAAATTGTTTATAACAGCTCCCATCTGGCTAAGGAAAGATCGGTTACAAAGTCATGATATACATTTTATCTGGAAAATAAACTGCCAGTCATAAAAACTTTAAAGCTTGGTATTTCTTAAATACATATATTATTTAATAAATGACTAAGTCAAACATTTAATACTTATTCTGAAACCAGCCTATTCTGCCAGTAATGCATCACCCTAGTGTAAATCATCTCACACATGACCAGCGAATAAGAAATAATATTAGTATAATTTAGAAGTCAAGTTGTTTTAGATGTAATTTGTTCAGTTAGATTAATGTTTTAAAGTTGCAGTTGACAAGCTTTTTCACAAAGAAAAGGCAAATATGAAATGTAAAAAGGATATCAAGTATAAATTAAAAATTGTTCAGAACTCCTTTGTTTGGTGGAAATAGTAGTTAGCTTATTGCTTTAAGATTTCCTTTGAGTCTACTACATTAAATTATTCTGAGAAGTTGAGAGGAAAATGTGAAAACATTTTCTCCATATTAAAAAAAAATGATGTTGCCTGAATGGTTCAGTTGGTTAAGTGTCCAACTTTGGCTCAGGTCATGATATTCCGGTTGGTGGGTTTCAGCCCCACGTCTTGGGCTCTGTGCTGGCAGCTTAGAGCCTGGAGCCTGCTTTGGATTCTGTGTTTCCCTCTCTCTGTGCCCTTCCCCTGCTTGTGCCCTCTCTCTCTCTCTCTCTCAATAATAAACATTACAAAAAAATTGTTTTTAATCTTTAAAAATGATGAGAAAGTAGTGCGTATCTGGTATCCTATAGTTTTGAGAGTAAATAACTTCAAGGATCCACATTTGATGGACAAAAGAACAATTCAAGTTTTTCGGCTACGAAGGATGAGATGCTGCTGATGAATGCCGATGGAGAGCTACCTGTGCTACTGTATTTATTTAGATTCTGTCTCTTTGTCTGTCTCTCTTTTTAAAATCTCTACAGTTAAAGAATTGCATGAGTTTTCAGTGATCTGCTTCTAACCTTAACTTTTTTCTTTTTTAAAAAAAAACTTTGTTATTTTAGTGTGCTACACGGCAAAATATGAAATTACTCAGGAATATCTATATAGTGTTACAACTAAAGTATTTGTATAGGATCCTTATCAGTATGGGGCTGAAAAACAAGAAATGCAATGCTAATGTGTCATATAGATCTATAATATTTAGTAGTTCCCTTCCTCAGTTCTCAGCCTTTTCTCTTTTTTAAATGCACCAAACTCTTGTGGCCTCAATGTTCTTGCGTATGATGCTCTCTCCACGGGACCAGCATCTCCACCACTGACGCTTGTCTAAGTCTTTCACTAGAAGGATATTGAATGAAATGAAACTTCCTCCAGAAGGTGACCTTAATCTACACCATGGATTTTAATATCATGGACTCTGGAATCAGAATCTTTTTTTTTTTTTTAATTCTTAAAATGTTTATTTATTTTGAGAGAAAGAGAGAGCACAAAGAGCAGAGGATGGGGAGACAGTGGGGAGGGAGAATCTGAAGCATGCTCCTCAGTGTCAATGGATAGCCTCACATGGAGCTCAACTCACATGCCCTGAAATCATGACTGAGCCCAAAATCAAAAGTCTGACGCTTAAGTCACTGAGCCACTCAGGCGCTCCCAGATTCTTTTTGTTTTTAATGACTACTTGGAGACAGTTACTTTAATTAGGCAAGACTCTTAACTTCTCTCTGCCTCTATTTTCCCCATATGTAAATTGAGGACAATAATGGTAATTAATTGAAATCATTGCTGTAGGCATTAAATGATTTAATATGTGTATAGAACTTGCAATCATGCCTGGCACATATTAGTATTCACAAAGTTTTAGCATTAGTGTTAGGTTTTAATGTTCATAGTTATTGATGTTATCTTGATTGCACAGACAAGTTGCACTCCATGAGACAGATTTATTACTTCACATAATAAATGTTTACCCCCCCACTTTGCCCTAGTCTTTACTCCTGAGATGAAGTCTGTGAACCAAGGATGGGAATTTCCCTGTATGAGCAAATAGAAATCCCACAGTAAGGCATGATGAAAACTTCTTTTCCTCTGTTCACAAAGTTGAAGGTAGCTGGTCCCCTCTCCTCTGAAAAGGTCTTCCCTCTCCTCCAGCCATTTGAGATGTGAATAAAATCTCTGCAGGTATCTTAGAACTCTCTTTGTTTCAGCTTTTAAGACTGGAGTTTCCTCTGGGTTTCTGGGCTTTATTACTCATTGATATGTAAATACTTAGGAAGATAAAGCTCTGGTCTCCCAAGGTACTTACTATGGACCTAGTTCAGGGCTGAAACTGTTCCGCTATCTCTAGGAAAAAGACATTTTACTACATTTTCGATCAGAACAATTAAGTACATAAATATCTACACATTTTAAGAGATATGTAGGGTTTTTCACAAAAACATTGAGAAGTTCAGGGAAGTTTGACCCTTTAAAATTATTATTACCATGGGTATTAACATTAGTATGGATTTTTAAATATTTTTTTAATGTTTTTTTATTTATTTCTGAGAGAGAAAGAGACAGCGTGAGCAAGGGAGGCTCAGAGAGAGACGGAGACACAGAATCGGAAACAGGCTCCAGGCTCTGAGCTGGCTGTCAGCACAGAGCCAGAATGGGGGCTCGAACCCACGAACCAAGAGATCATGACCTGAGCTGAAATCGGACACTTACCCGACTGAGCCACCTAAGCACCCCAACGTTAGTATGGATTTTTGTTATATGTTCTCACAGCAAACTATTTTTCCTAACATTTACCACTATTGCAGTTACATTTATGTTTATTGATTCTTGCTAAATGTGTGTATAAACTACCAGTTAGTAAACCCCATGATGGGGAGGATCACAGAATGCTTTGCTTACTCCTTTGTCCTTGGCAATCAATTCAGTGACTCATCTGGTGAGCACACGCCCACTTATATTTTAGGCCTGCTCTGCTCTGTCTTATGCAATGAAACACTGCAATGCTCAAATTGAAATTGACACTTCTGAAATAACTTATTGTAAAGTGTTTTTACCAGGTCAAATGATCAGTCATGAATGTCTTTCTAATTTAAAAGTGTAGTAAGTGTATTACTTACTAAGTATATTGGCTTATAACACACAGGAGAATTATAAATGTCTTTATTAAAGACTTATTAAAGATTTATTAAAGATTCAAAGAAGTTACATTTTGTTCAATCTTCTCCATATTGTTAAACCCATTAAAATGTTCAGAGTGTTAATTCATGATTGCATTTAGTATGTATTTCAGTAATTAGCATTTAGTAGTTGCTCAATAAACAATTGAATGGATTAATGAATCAACAAATTATAAACAACTTAAATTTAAACTGATTGAGCAGTTTATAAAGTTGTTTTAAATAATAGTTATCATTAATAATTTTATTAGTTTTATTTGCTAAAATTATATAGAATCATTTTGTTTGCCCTTAT